TTTTTTTTTTTTTTAATCTCTGAGTGTGAAAAGGAGTTGTAAGTGTAAAAAAGCTTAAAAGAAAAAAATTATCAGAGATTGGATTGGTTCATGTTCCATAATTGAATGAGGCCTCTTGTAGTTGCTACTCGTTGGTCAATCGTAAAAGGCGTGTGTATGTGTAATGGATAGTGTATTGTGTTTTTAAAACTTTGCTTTACAATAATCATTATAGGTTAGTCTATTGGTAAAAAGAGACAACATAAATTCTAAAGAATTTAAAACGAATGAGTTTTCTTGACAAAGATATATAGTAGGTCTTACTCGAGTCGAGTGAGTGTAAAGTAGATCTTCATACCCAAATATCAATGAAGAAGGCATCTTAAATGGCTTACATGACAAATGAATAAGGGAAAGTATAAGAAGTTTTAACAATAATAGCCTATGTGAAAAATATATCATAGAAAATAATCTAGTTTATCATCTCAATTAAAAAATACCAATTCTAAATTTTTATATACATTATAAAAATAATAAACATTAAGATCCGCAAATTTATAAAATTAGTTAATTAGTTATATTTTAATGTGTCCCATACCCAAAGTCGTGGATGTCTCTAAATTTTCCTCTCAATAGAGATATAGCTAGAGAATCTCCCTTTCAAAATAATAAGATGAGGAAATGTATTTTTAATCCATCGTTCTTCACTTTGATTTACAAAATTTACCATTGATAATTGAAATTACTCAACTTTTAACTTATATTTTAATAAATAAAATTGCCAAACATGAAGACACTCCTCCCCTTGCCAACATGAAGACATGCACGTACTAAAAATACATCAATAATATGCAAATATTTATTGATATAATTATATTGGTTATCCACAATCGATTAACATCTGGTGTGGAATCGCTCTAACAAAGAGATCCAATTCATCCATGAACTATAAATGGAGGAGCCAACCCTTCTCACCAAAGGTACGACTTGGTGTAGAAACTACTTTGACAAGGACGAAGTCATATAAAGGTCATCGTCGTTCAAACAATCTAGATAACCTATCCTTTAAGGCAGTGAATGTGATTGGCTAAGTCGATTTATGCTATAAATCAACCACATATCACAACTTCTTCCATAAATTGGAGGATACTCCATCAAATATTGTCTTCCTCAACTTGACACAGGTCACGTCTAACTTAAGCATTTCAGTACTTGTTGGACAAATATCATGTAGATTGGTGTGCAATTCTCTCATGCGTGCAAATTTCAATCTTTCTAATCTATTCCTAATCTAGAATAGCATGAAATCAACTGCTCAACTCAACCATATTTTTCGAGTTGAGTATATCTTGCATCAATAATATCTTAATCTTCACTCTTACTTTATGATTATAAAATGTTTCAATCGTGACATCAATTAACATAGAACAAAATTGAATACCATATCTTCAAGTTAATAATAATAATTTATAGATTTTATAAATACAATAAAATTATTAGAAAAGAAAAGGAGAGAAAAAATAGAATATTTTGAAGACTCTAAAAAGCAAATAGAAAAGAGAAAGGGAAAAAAAAGGTAGGTAGGGATGAAAGGCAATGGTAATATTTGTAAACTTTTGACATGCACTTTCACGTAACATTCTTCCAGAAAGGTGACAGTCGACATGTCGTACTCACATGCGGCTTTGGTGGTGGGTGGCCCACTCTGTCGATCCACATTTTAAATCACACCATCCAACTTTGTTGATCCAGCCCCTCCTTCTACTTTCAGTTTACTTAGGTTATTTTCGTACGTTTATTTTATTTTACTTATCCTTTCGAGATTTTCATTTTTTATCATGCACTCTCATGTTTTAGTCCCTTCCTTTTCTTTTTATTTCATTTGCTCGATCATAAGCTTAGCATGACATTTAACTCAATAAATTTCACGGTAATTTTGTATCAAAGAATTTTCGTTGGATGTAAAATTTGTGTTAAAATTTTTTAAATAGAGATCAATATAATCACTTATTAAAAAATATAGGGCGTTGACTAAAATTAACAAAAAATAAGAAATTAAGAAATTAAAACAAACCAAAATAGTATTTAAAACGTGTTTTTAATTAGTTAGAAATTCATGTCAATCTCATCCAAAAAATTATACTTGACCACATGTACTATTGTGCTAAATGCTCTCCCAAATCCACAATTCTACCTTCACGAATCCTAACTCATCTTCATCGAGTTCTCATCCATTCTTTAACACTTTTGCAAGAGTTTCATATCCACTGTAAAACAAGTTTTTAATTTAATTTTTTAACACGAGGAGAGTGATTTAATTATCTATATGCCACAGTTACATAAGTAAAAAAATAAAAATGAAAGAATAAAACAAAGAGAAAATTTGTAACTATATACCTAATATTTTTTTCATTTAAAAGAGAAATTGTAGAGTTGGAATGGTCCACTCAACTCCACTTGCTACACTTCAATAATTTTTCCAACTTTGATGCCACATTCACAGCCTACATCTTATGTGTGCAAAGAGTGGTCACTTTCCCACCCTTCACTTCTCAATAATCTATCTTTTTCTTCTTTTCCCAAAGTACAATACATTATGCAATACATAATATGACCAAACATATGAGTTTATATGTCCTAATTTTAGAGACAAACATTACTTTGATTGCATATACATATTTTTTTAGTTTTTGTTACAGGATCAAGTCAGGTTCTATCTTGACGAAACCTCAAAGGATTACTCATTTTACATCATCTTTTTTCTCACATTACATATAATTATGAAAATTTTGAAAAATAATTTTATTCCAATTATTAAGGGTCTAATTTGATGAACGGAAATGTGTTTTTTTTTTCAAATCTTTTTGTCCACTAAGAGTTCTTTTTATTTGCTAATGTATTTCCAAACTGTTTTTGAATTCTAGAAAAAATTTTAAATAAAGCAAGTGATAATATAACATTAATTTTTACAGACAACAAATTAAAAGTAAAATTGTTACCAAAAGGGACTTGAGAGCTCAGATAATTACATTCTACACCACTATAGTTTTCAGCCTATGATAATTTGCTTTTCGCCACAAACTTTAAGTTATGGCCAACCTACTCCACGTTCTTAATAGCTACCAAACAGCTCGGCAAAGAATGTAAAATTAAATAATTAAATTGCAATTTGCAAAGCAAAAATATAAATCAAGGTGAGGATTTGACTAAAAAAAAGTTATTACATAATTACATGAGGAAATTAAAAGTTTTAAAATATTTAAGACGTAAGTGAAAAATGATACAAACATTAAGATGAAATTATATATTTAGCTAAAAACATTGTTATTCAAATTAAAAATTTTAATATTAAATTACAAAGGTAGCCCTCACCTTTGAGGCCTATACTTATTCGTTAAAAAGATTTTAGTTATGTTTCTAAACTTTTAATTTTGTTGTCTTTATGAAAAGAGTTATTTAAATGTTGACATGAATGGTCTGATAGGAGTCGTTTAATTTACAATTCAGATCTAAGAATTAAAGATATCAACTAGGCCAAGATCTCGTTTTGGTTTATGAAGTTATGAATTATGCTCACTACTACTTCAATAAATCTAGTCTTCTTTATTTTTTATTTCAACTTTTTTTTTTAAATATTCAACTTATATAAACATATTTAAGTCTTGGAGTATACTTCAAAAAGAAAAACATAAAAAATAAAAAACTTAGTGTTCCTAACTAAATTTCCAAAAACACTAAAATAGAGTTCTAAAAAAACTTTTTTTTTTTTTTAATGACTGAGGGTCTAAGCTTTGTTTCCATATACCTAGGATCACCCGTACCCACCCTAAGCCACAGATTTAAGAGATATCAAGAATTTTTTACATTAAACTCTCTAAACCAATATGATAAGAGACCTCTGAACCTTTACCAACTTGACTATCCCATAGAGCCTAAAATTAGATTAAGACCTACAATGCTATTTTTAAAGGGTGAAGCATTAAGACAATGAAATTGTTAGATGCACATGCTCAATCTTTTAAAAAAACAGAAAACTAAAAATAAAAGCCAAACTTTTACTTTTTGCTTTTAAAAGTTATGCATACTTTCAATTTTTTTATGCACATTCTTACAAACACATTCAAATTTTTAGCCAAATTTCAAAAACATAGGTTTTAAAAACGTTTGAAAAAAAAAGGTAGAAAAATGACACGTCAATTATTTTTATTCAATTTAGTAAGGAAACTTCCAAATCAGGAGCTAAACTTTAAAAAGAAAAAGAAAAAGGCATCCCTCAGCAATTTCAATAATTTTCTGGTCACGACTTAAAAGTAAACAAATAACAAAGTAAAATAATATGTCAGCTAGCACATACCATGCTTCAATCATTAGATCTAAATGCTAACTTTGCAAAATGAAGGGAGGATAAAAGTTTCGTTGAACCCACAATCAGCTCCTGCAAAATATATATACTCAAGGCTTCAGAAGAAATAAAGAAATAAGTTTAGACAATTGAGCTCAAGGAGCCACAGCCCTTTAAAAAAAGTCCAGTTCATAACTAGAATCAATAGCAAGCACCAACGACCTACCCTCCTCTTCTCTGCACTCTTCTTAATATGCATAATCAAGTATCATCCAGCTTAAAGATCCCCCTTCAGTTGGATAATTCCATATAAACTAAGAAGAAAAAACAAAACAAACTTGCAAGTGACACCAAACTCTATTAGTTGCAGAAACATTAGCAGGTGATGATTCTGTTCCTTTCTATGATGAAGCTAGCGTGACTAAAGTTCCAACATAGACAAACTGGAACTGAAGAATGGGAGAAAATGAAACTGATACCAAGCTAAAGTTGTTAAATGAAACAATAGTCATGGATAGAACCATAACCAAACACCATAAATAAAAAAGTTTCTAGTAATACCATGTGCAGCAAAATCAGCCTAAATATATTGATTAAACAAAAAAATACAAGAAACACATACCGCATGTAGTGCATTAGGTAAGAGCACTAGAAATACCACTTAGGCAAATAAAACACCTTAGATAGAATGAGCCATCAAAGCATGTGCTTTGTTCACTCTGCCATGTGATTGCATTTGGTGGGTCAGCCTGTACATATACATGTGTGCATAAATGGAAACCTTCAAATACAATTGCATAAGCACGTCAGCTGATGTTCACCATGCCTAAGTACACAAAAATTGATGTCCACTTCAACATACAGTAAGACTAATTGAGTCGAATGATGGGATATCAAGACAATGTACCATCTGATTTTTTGGAATTTTTACATTATAGATTGAATACATCAAACACCATGAAGTAATATAAGCTCTAATGGACGGACCCTTTCATCTATTGCCAGATTAGGGCAAGAAGAACACAGAAACCAATCAACATAAGCAGCCGCTTCAGGTAATAATCTTGCTGACCTTGACGGAGATGGTGATAGTATCCATGGGCGTGACCATGGCTACCATGAAACATGTTAGGGAACCCATATGGAAAGCCAGCACCTGCACCATACATGCTTGGATCTGCATATCCATGCATCTGAAAGTTGAATAAAGATGGGACAAGACCACCAAATGCCGCAGACAAGGTGAAATTACCAAACCTTGTAGACGCCATGGGAGCAAACCCTCCGAGACCTCCCATGAATCCAAACCCATTGTGAGGGAAATGATTTGGTTCTGGGGGAGGACCTGCTGCTTCAGGTCTCTGTCCCGCAGGACGATTAGGAATGTTAATTCCAGGAATACTTTTTGATCTCGGGTCAGTCGATGTCTTTCCCCTACCATATAAGGGAACCAACTTTTGCTCTTCTATGATGGCCTTGCAAACTGGACATTCCTGGGGATGGGAATGAATGTGCAGCCATTTATAAAGGCACGGCCAACAGAAAAGATGACCGCATAGAGTTACGATAGGATCTTGAGCTAAATCCAGGCAAATATTGCACTCAAAATTACTAGCATCACTATTGTTGTCTGAACACGATGGGCTTTGGGGTTGCCTGCTCGTCGATTCCCCAAACCCGCTCGCCATATCTACACACCCTACCTATCAAATCAAATTATAGCACAATTTGAGAGAAAAAAAAAAGGAAATCCACTAAACTCAACAGAAAAATTCTTCGCGATCGGAAAAATTCCTTGAACCAACAAAAAACCAATAGAGAACCCTAATGAGAATCAACCATCTTAACAATTGATCCGCTGGTGCAATAGTGAAAGCAGGAACTAAACAACCAAATATCAAATCCTAGGGTTCAAAATCCCCAAACAGAGACCAGCAGAATCGAATTCCACGCAAACAATCAAACCAAGAAGAGAACTCAGAAATTAAAATAAAACTCAAGAAAGGATCGGAACAATGAAAACACGGACCTGTTAATTGAGAAGAACAAACCGGCCGATGCCGCCTTTGGATCGATCAAAAAGCAAATCTGAAACCGAAGACGAACGCGTTTGACGGGAATCCGAAAAATATACGTTTGGAAATGGAATGGAAGTTTCCAGCAGCCGTGCCCTAAAAATATTCAGTGCGTGCGTCGTCACGTTATCTCGGTAATGCTCGTCACTTTATTGCACGTGGCACACGATTATTGGTTTCATCTTCCCATTTGGAGCAGAAATATCGACGTCTTTAGAAGAGAGTAGGAAAGTTATATATACTCGCAGTGGTAAAAAAGTATATTACTTTTCACAACCGCGTGCCAGTGGAGTGGTTAGGCGTAGGTCAAGACAAGCGCGGGCCATTGGATCTTACTCTTGACGCACCAATATATATTTTTTAATTACAATTTACTAAAAAAAATAAAATAATGTTTAGGTATTGACATGGTGATATCTTCCAACTTAATAATGGTGAGTTGATCGTAAAACAATTATTATTCTATTTTAAAAGCTAATAATCCGGAGTTGCAAAAAAAAAAAAACTAATTATTTGGATTTTTCTAAAATAATATTTATTTTCCAATTTATTTAGAAAATATATTCTAACAAAATTATTTGGAAAATAAGAAACATATTAAATCCATTAAGCGGTGATTGAAAATTATTCTAAAAGTAATACTTTTAAAAATTTCCTCCCACTCGATCGTCTCTTAGATGACCACAACATTTTCAATATTTGGTCGTCTCTTCAAAAAAATGATTATAAGAGCGTCACGTCTAATTTTTTAAAAAAATTAAGATATAATCATCTCTTAGGATACGATTATATGGACACGCATTTATGGTCGGTTTCTTGTTGATTTTTTGAAAAAGAAAAATGTAGTTATATTATATATTAAATAATAGCATAATACTTATATTGATGATGTAGTTACCACTTGATTTCCAAGATTTCCCATGTTCAAGATGTGGGTTATTCAAGCGTATTAAGCTTTTTCAGTTAGGTCATGGCATAAATAATTTTTTTTTCTTGAGAAAGTGATTAACCTTTGCTAATAAAAAATGGATATATCATTACACCGTTTGATAACCATTTTAGTTTTTGATTTTTGGTTTTTCTTGTTTTTAATTTTTGATTTTTGGTTTTTGTTGTTTTTAGTTTTTAGTTTTTGGTTTTCTGTTTTTAAAAAACAAAAACCATATATGTTTGATAACTATTGTTTATTTTTTTATTTTAAAAAGCGGAATACCAAAACATAACAATTTTTTGTTTTTTGTTTTTAAAAAGTTAGAAAATTGGAGAGAAAATTTTATGTAGAGTAGAGATAACAATGATGTGGGTGCGAGTGATAATGTTCTCCCCATTCTCGTGAAAATTTTTAGTCTCCATCTCCACCTCGTTCTTGGGTTTGAGAGATGTTCTCTAGAAAAATTATCGGTTTCATAATTGTTTTTAATTATTTTTAGAATTTAAGTATAAAAAGTGTAATAAATATATATTTATTATTTAAAAAATGGAATCGGAGACGGGGTCGAGACATGCATTTCCTATTTTTTGGATTCGACCCTGCTGAAATTTTTGTCTTCCCCTAATGTAGAGACATGAAAATACTAAGTTAGAGATGTAAATAAACTTTTGGAATATAAATTTTAGAGAGATAAATAAAAATATTAAGAAAAAAAAGAGTGAAATAAAAGTTAAAAGAGAACAAGAGAAAAATTATAGAGGAAAAAAATAAAGTCAAGAGGAAAAGATATGTGAAAGAAAAAAAATTGTAAAGAAAAAGAAAAATTATAGTGGAAACAAATTTAGAGATAATAATAGGATTCAAAATATAATTTTTAGAGAAAATAAATAAATACAAGGATAAATAAAAGTTACAGTGAAAGAAAATTGAACGAGAAATAAAATATAATTTTCAGAGGAAAAAATAGATTACGAAAACAAAGAAAAGTTATAAAAGATAAATTTTAGAGGGAGAAAAGTTAGAAAAAAATATTAAATTTTTAGAGAGAGAAATGAAATGGGTCTGTTAGAAAAAAAAATAAAAATAGAGAAAAATTTGGACAGAGACAAATAATAATAAATATTCAAAATATGAAAATTTTAGAAACAGAAAAATAAAGTTTGTAGAGAGAAATTTAGAAATAAAAAACTTTTAGAATGAGAAATAAAATTTTTAATGATAAATAAATATGAGAAAGGAAAAAAAAAAGTTGAATATTAGAAGAAAAAAGAAATTTTGGAAAACAAAAGCCTGTTTTTGAAAAACAAAAACTTATTTTTGAAATTTACCTAGAATTTCAAAATGATTTTTGAAAAACAAAAAACAAAAAACTGAATTGGTTATTAAATAACCTTTGTTTTTGAAAAACAAAAAACGAAATGGTTATTAAACGGATCCTAAATTATTATTTTATTGACATGTGAGATATCATTCCAATGCTATCTTGACACTTAAACTCGACTCATCTATTTAAAAATAATAATAAATTATTTAATATTCATGTGTCCAAACATATGAATAGAACAACATTAATATCACATCATTTTCTATAACAAATTTTAACTTATTTCTTTAATGAAATAACTTAATTGATAATTTTAAAAATTAAACATCAAAATAAGAATTGTTCGAGATTATGAATGATTGGAGCTATTTAGGCCTTCCAAAAAAGTATTTTCTACTAAAATTCTCTTCTAGTTTCTTCAAAATTTGTAAACCTTTTTAGAAAAATTGGGTACGATAGTTTAAACATCCAACGTCAAGAAATGAGTGGGTGACAATTACAATTGAACTATGTCATGTTGGTCTTACTTGTATTTTTTAAAACTAGTTTTATAATTTAAGTCAAGTTTTAAAGAAAAAAAAAGGTAATTTTTAAATTTAGTTAAGAGTTTAAACGCGAGCGAGGTTGGACAAATAGATATCCTGCTTAATTTAATAGCTAATATTAAATCAGTTGATACTACGTAGATATTGAATTTGGTTGGCTACAAGTATCTGGCTTTTTAAATTATTAAACTTAAATAAGAGTTTAATAGGTTAAGGATCTATTAAACATAAAATTAAAAATTAAAAGACCTATTAAATGCAAAATTGAAAGTTTAACGATCCATTAGATAATTTTTAAAAGTTCGAGAACCTGACACAAATCTCAAAATTTAGAAATCAAAGTATAATTTATAGAATTAAAATACTTATAAATCAAACTTATGATTTATTAGTTAAATTGGTTCAGTAGGATATAAAAAATATTTTTCCATGTAAATAATAGTGGAAGAAAGATAATGAAATTTATTTTGACCTTAGGACTTGGTCCACCTAAATCATGGCATCACCACTGGACCATGAGCAAATTATGTTAGATTTGGTACAACGTTTCTTTAGTGGTGCAATATTGTTAAAAGTTGAGGGGAGGCTCGAGTCCTATGTGGGTCAACATACATCCTCCCCGCCCCTAATAATGACAAGTTATTTTAAGATTCATTTAGAATAAATTAACATTTCACATTTCACATTTTAACTTTTTCCTTTTTACTATTTTTTAATTTGAGACAGCCTTACTCATTTTTATCATTCCCCATGGCCTATATTGTCGGAGGTTTGGAACATAAACTTTTAACAAACGAAAATTAAATAATTCCAACAGTTTTTGTCCACGTTTCAATAAAAATAATAATAAATCTGGTCCTACCAACCGTCTTCGCCTCCTCGCTCCTCCCATCCATTTAAGTCGGTGTCGTTTTACCTGCCTCATCAATATTTTTATCATTTTTCTAACAATAACAACTCTTTATCGTAGAAGTACTTATTTCAAATTAAAAAGTTCCAATTGGAATCTCCAATTCTTATATTTTACAAAAATCTAACTATCATTTTGAATATTAGAAAGTAGATTTTTAATAATTATATTCAAAAAATGATAAGAATAATAGTAAGATACATACTTACTCGTGAATATCTAAATATGAAAAATACCTAAATTTTTATTGGCCAGAACATTTAATAGTAGAGTCAAGCATCCTTTTCCTAAATATTATCTATAATGATTAATTATGCCAGTTTTTCTATTAAAAGCTGAACTACAACAATATTTTCAACACTGGCCTCAAGAGAGAGAGAAAAAACCAAAACAAAATAAAACAATAATTTTAGCACTAAAAATAAGTCCGAAAAATTGGATTTCTCACCTCCACGACTTTAGAAAAAAATATAAATAAACAAGTCAGGCCAATAAGATTTCTTGGCATCCGTAAGTAAACAATTATACACTAAAATATAATTTCCATATTATATTCTGTTTCGATTAACAGTCAACAACCTTCATTGTTGTTTTTCTCTCCAAAA